GTAGAGACACCTTGCGGGCGTTGTTGTTGGCAGCAAACATAGATCCCAAGGCGTCCCAGGCCTTCTTCGCGTTGGCAGCACCGGTAACCATCGGCAAATGATGATCCTTGACGTTCTTGATGAGCAGATTGATGACCTTCCGTGACTGTCGAATTTGCTCCTCGTTGCACGGCTCGGCGAGCAGGGATTGCTCAAGCCCAAGCTCCATGCACATCGCGCTAAACCGAATTTGCCAGGTAGAGTAGCTGTTGAGATCCAGCGACTCATCAAGCTTGTCCTTAACCATTGTTGATGAGGGATAGAAATAACAATTGGGCGATAACTGTCGGCGCTAATCGGGGCTCATAACCTATTGAAGAATTGGCGACGGTGACGGCTAACGCTGATTGTTATTCCGGAAGGATTGCCGGTGGCGAAGATATTTAGCACGATAAACTGTTACAAGTAATGTAAAGAGTATTATTAGCGTTCGGCAGGACTTGAGGAGATTCCTATGAGGAATACCGATCGTAGTGAGATAAACAAATAAGCGCAGTCACCGCCCTAAATACCGGCGCTAGCGGAAAACTCGTACATTCCGCGATCTAACTGCACGTACATTCCGCGATCTCACTGCGCCGTCCTGACGGTGCCCTAATGTCTATCACTTAGCTACCGGATATGCATCGGTAGCCCATAAGGTTCTGGGGTAAGTCTTCCCCATTAGACAGGCGCAGACCCGTGGTCAAATCCCCTGGTCGACAACCACACGAGTTGGGAGAGGACCGTTTCCTCAACAAACCCGAACCATTTGGTGAAGGTTCAGGCATAGGTCCACACACATCCATGTGAATGAGTGCGAGAGGCTGTGCTGCCTTATGCCCAGATAATGGAAAAGGACCCCGAGTATGCTTTGCAAGGACGCAAGTCTCACACACACACGCGCTGGCTAATTGTATGCTGTGTCGGTCAACATCGAACCCAGTTACCATATTGTGACGCAGCAACGCCTCAAGGTTGCTGTATCCCAAGTGGCCATACCGTCAGTGCCAAAGTGCTGCACGTTCAGCTCCGATATCCACGGCAGCACACACTGCACCACCACCAGAAGGCATCCTGTTGTCTTCACGCTGCGTCCACTTCAGAGCGCCCGTACCTCCACTGCTGTAGCAGACGGGATACAAGTCCCCGTCCCGCTTTCCAGTCAGCACCAACTGGTTCTGTACGTATACTTTCACCTGTCCGCCACCGAAGACCACACTGCCTCCACGATCATCAATGATGCGGACCGATAGGATTTTGGCGGTGGCCTCCTCGTCGACGTAGACCTTCTTAAAAGTGATGGCCTGTTTATCGTTGACGTTAGACCGAATCATAACCGTGCCAACTTTATGTCGGCCAAAGAGACTGTCCCTTGATGCCCATGATGTTGAAGCGCTCCCATGTTGGGTTGGCACGGGTACTATACTAGAAAAGAGTACTATACTATAAAAGTACTATGCATAGTACTATTTACTATGCAGGGCTCTTAACTGGTACTAGTTTACGACGCTCGTACCGCGTTCGTACATAGTAAAATAGTATAGTAAAAATAGTACTAGATAGTATTGAAGAATTGGCGACGGTGACGGCTAACGCTGATTGTTATTCCGGAAGGATTGCCGCTGGCGAAGATATTTAGCACGATAAACTGTTACAAGTAATGTATAGAGTATTATTAGCGTTCGGCAGGACTTGAGGAGATTCCTATGAGGAATACCGATCGTAGTGAGATAAACAAATAAGCGCAGTCACCGCCCTAAATACCGGCGCTAGCGGAAAACTCGTACATTCCACGATCTAACTGCACGTACATTCCGCGATCTCACTGCGCCGTCCTGACGGTGCCCTAATGTCTATCACTTAGCTACCGGATATGCATCGGTTGTTGGAAATGACCGACACTCATATACCAGTGAATGGTAGCCACAGTAATAGGACCCAACGGGGGTCCGGCGCTTTGCTGGTCTTAACAGGTTATGAGCCCCGAATGGCGCATTGCGCTGCCGAGAGGTCGCCGGATCGATACCCACTGGCTGTTGCCCAGAGAATGGGAGACCGGGATGAGGCACGGGAAGGCCCGGAGCGAGAGAGTGTCGCTCACGGGGGGGTGTTGGAAATGACCGACACTCATATACCAGTGAATGGTAGCCACAGTAATAGGACCCAACGGGGGTCCGGCGCTTTGCTGGTCTTAACATCGGTAGCCCATAAGGTTCTGGGGTAAGCCTTCCCCATTAGTCAGGCGCAGACCCGGGGTCAAATCCCCTGGTCGACAACCACACGAGTTGGGAGAGGACCGTTTCCTCAACACGTCCCCTCGGGCCGTATCCCAACGAGTACCAAGTTCACCTGCACACTTCACACAAGGCCCATCGCATCTCGGCAACGTTTGAACTTCACCTCGCCCAGAGCCTTCGTTAGCACATCCGCAACCATCCACTCCGTAGGGCAGTATTCCAACTGCACCTCACCACTATTCACCCTCTCACGCACTATGTGATGCTGCACGTCGATGTGCTTCGACCGAGCAGACGTAATCGGGTTATTTCCCAAGCTAAGCGCCCCCTGGGAATCTATTTGGATTCTGATAGCGCTCTCAGGCAAACCCAAATCAACCATCAGCTTGCGAAGCCACAAAGCCTCGTG